TAATAATAATATAGGCTAAATTTCGGGCCTGGGCCCAGGCTCGGGCTTCGGGCTTTTTATGAGGGCCGGGCTCGGGCCCAAATTGTAGGCCCGATGGTCGGGCCGGGCTCGGGCTCGGGTCTTAAAAAAATTTGTTAATACACAGTAAAAGCCCAGCCTAAGCCCGGCCTGGCCCGGCCCATGAACAGGTCTATATATAGGGCACTGATGTGAATTCTAAATTATATAATATACTAATAAGGAAATAGTGTATGGAAAAGAGTCCTTAGAATTCAACATTTAAAATCCAATGGAAAATGCATGTGTAAAAACACAGTGTAAAACTTGACCTCACCTTATTGAACCACCATTTTTCTTTAACTCTCCTTAAAAATCAATGTATGATATTCATGTACATTTGCTAATTACAAAAGTGTCATTATTTATTTCCTTGAATTTTTTATTAATTACAAAAAGGGCCATTCAAAGTAATCAATGCCTCCTTTTTAGTTATGCAATTACAAGTGTGCCATTAATATGTAATTACAATATTGTCACAAAATTGTTATTACTCTCTTTATAATTTTTATTTGTTAGCCCCCCCCCCCCCCTCATCTGTCTCTTTATCTCTAGGGCCGTCAATTGTTTAGATTGGACCTGATGGATCCAAACCAATTAGGTCAATTTAAATTCAATTCTTGATATATTGTCCCAATTCTTATCTGGTCATAGCCTATTCCACCAGTCATGAATTATAAATACATTATTTATATTGTATTTTTCTAAATTTGTTATATTATTTATTTTTTAATAAAAATATGTATATATTTTGAAAATGGTTGAAAAGATACTTGTAGTTTTTGTTTTTCTTTATTTAAATTATTATACTTTAACAATTTATTACTTTTTAAAAAATCAAATTGGATTGGATCAGATTTGAAAATCCGACTTCCTCATTAGATTCGAATTCAGACCCATGTTTTATCATATCTGATTGGATCTTCATATTGGATCAACAATTAATAGTGTCGGATCAGATTCGAATCATTTGCATCCCTAGTCAATGTGTCGGGTTGAACCTAATGGGCCAAAATCGATTGGGTCAATTTGATTTTCAATTCATGATATATTGTCCCAATTCTTATTGGGTAGGAGCCGGTTCCACCCAGTCACGAATTAATTAGGAGTTGGGTATAATTTTTAAATACATTGAATTGGAAATTTGTGAGTCTAATGTGACCTTGGGTTGGGCTACAATATTGGGCCAAAACTTGGGCTAAAAATTTGTAGGGCCATGCCTAGACCAAGTGTAAAGACAAAACTTAGGACCAAGCCTAAAATTTTGGGGTCAAGTTAGGTATTTTCATCTACACTTCTTTAACATCTCAATTGAAATCCATAGAACGAAAGCAAACTAATATTTTAAAACATTTCCTCTTCTCTCAATCTCTCTCTCCAAGAATTCAACCACCTCCTCCCATCCCTCCCCCATTCCCCCAACCCCTCTAATAGTATACACTTGTTAAAATGTATTTTTTAAAATTTTATTAATTATTCAAAGTTATTATTTATAATTGTAAAATTATTTATTTTAAAAGTTGAGTAATTAATGTAATTTAAGTATTTAATTAGATTAACTAAATTAATACTTAATTGATTTACCATAGTTAAATTAACTAAATTGAATAATTAAATAACACTAAATTAATTTGATTCATTTATTCAAATAGTTAACATTAAATATGCCTATATGAATAAAATTATTAATTTGTTGTTGTATTCTTATTAGGGGTGAGCATTCGGTTTTTTCGGTTCAAAACCGAACAAAAAAAAAAAAAACTGAATTTCTCAAAATTGATTTAACTATGGGATAAACCGAACCGAAACCGAAATATTTGACAACCGAATAAACCGAACCGAATTTGTTTTGGTTATTTCAGTTAAAACCGAAATATTTTGTTTTGTTATTTAGTCTTCACTCTGCAAGCGGATTTAGAGAGAGAAAATCATTGTAGATAATGAGGAGTCGAGGAAGAAAGAATAAGGGAACTTTTATGCTGCCCACCCAAACCAAAATGATATTCTCTTATATCAAATTCAAAGTTGCAACGAGTTGGAAGAAGACAGACTGCTCGAGTTCCTGGGACTCTGGACTTTTGGAGAAGAAGAAGAAGAATGACGGCAGGCAGAGTTGAGACCCGATGGAGAACACAAACTGCTTGAGTGCCTGGGACTCTAGACTTTTGGGGAAGAAGAAAAATAAGTTAGTTACCTGTTGAAGTGGAAGTGGAAGTCTGCCTGGGGATGGTGTCTGGTGATCTATTCTGTGGTCTCTGCTCTGGAGTCTAGAGTTTGTAACCCTGTAAGCACCGAATTGCCGAAGCGGATTGTGGAAGAAGACAAAGAGTTTTTTCCTGTTTTGAGTGTTTTCCACTTTTCGTATCTAATACGAAATTAGTTACTAGTTAGTCTTAGTCATTATAAATTTAGAAACTTTTAGAGTTATAGTCTTTTACGTTATTGCTTATTATGGAAATTTAGCATGTAGCCAAATACGTTATACGAAGTTTGGTCTTGGGTCTTTGAGTTCAATGTATATAAGTATAATATAAATAATATTAACAATATAATTATAAAACTAAATTGATTTTTTCAGTTAACCGATTTAGCAAACAAGGTAATTGAAACCAAAATCTGAAATAGAAGAAAACCGAATAACAAAATTGAACTCAGCCAAAAAACCAATTAGACTGAACAGATTAAACCGAAACCAAAATTTAAGTTCAGTTTTTCGGTTTTAACCGAATTGTGATCACCCCTAATTCTTATCGTATCAGCCCATGCAACCGGTAGTAGTGATAAATAAACTGTGTCCGTTTAGGAATGTAGCGACTTTTGCTTTTCTCTATACAGGCTCCACATGGACAACATATAGATTATGTGCCCGCTTTAGGGGTCGAGCTGAACATTCAATCAAGTTGGTTTAGCTGTTTTGAGGTTCAAGCGCACAACCCAAAAATATTACTGATTATGAATCATTTGGGTCATGGTTGAGCTCGGAACTGATTATGGTTTTGGGTTCAGTTTGGGACCCCTCAATCAGTGGTCAAAGTAGTTTCATTTCTAATCCAACTTTCAAAAACATGATTTGGGTTCTTTAGATTTTTCACCAAATATAACCTAGAAGGCTGTTCGTGTAGATCCCACTTCGAAAAGTCTGAAATTCTACTCTTCGGCCCTTTCAAATGGGCACTATGTTCCATGAAAAATCTAACAAGTGTTTAGAATCGATGCCATTTTTTTAAACGGCACGACATCAGTACCACATCTTAAATCTGTTTTTTGAAAAAACGCTCACTGTTTGATTGGGTGTTTTCCCAAAATAATTTTTCTCATACCACACCTAGGAAATCAAGGAAGGTGTGGTCTAAGAAAACACCCTTTTTTATGTCTTTCTTGTTTTATATGGCATTGAAAAAATAATGCCTATGTTGCAGCAATGATCCCCCTAAAAAAAAACAGAAAATCTGTTTTTTGAAAATACATCATATTTAAGTAATGCCATTTTCTCAACAAATGGCGCTGGAGAAACCAGTTTCCAACACCACCCTAGAAAACCCAAATCAGCTGTTTAATTGAATCTTCAGTCCAATTCTCTCAAAATGGACCTTTAGTTCAACTATTTTGTCACTCAAAGATGAAACAAAGTCATTCACGTTTGAAAATTGAATAATATGAAAATGACTATTTTACCCTTTATTTTTTCTTTAAATTTTCAAAAAGTGTATCTCTCCCTTTCTTGCCCGTTCTGTTCTTCGGAACCGCCAAAACCACCATAAGTGTAGATCTCTCCCTCTCCCTTTCGTTCTCTTCTCCAAAACCACTAGAACCGCTAGAAATGTAGATTTTTCAAATCTCTCCCTCTCCCTCTCGTTCTCTTCTTTGGAACCACCGGA